GAGTCCATGTTGGTATCCTGGGGGCTCAAAGCAGCATGGAGGGTGGGAACCAAAGGAGTGGAGTCCATGGTGAATCTTCACTGGGCCCTTCTCCCTGGTGTCTCTGTCTTCTACTAAAAATGCCAAGTCCAAGAGTTAAAGCAAAGGCATTCAATGGACAACAGATCTCAGGAAATCAAGGAAACTCCACCTCTTGTGACTGGCTAGTCCTGGGGAGGGCCTTGTTAAGGCTGGGAAGGAGACAGCTTCTGAGCATGGGGTAATTCAAACAGGATGTCAATGAATTGGAGAGTGTTTGGAGAAGAGTCATGAGAATGATTAAAGGGTTGGAAAGCATGCCTTACAGGGAGAGGTTCCAGGAGTGCAGCTCGTTCCGCTTAAGTGAAGTGACTTCACCATAGAACACAAGCACTTATGCGGGAAAGGAAACTTCAGTGATGGTCCTTCTAGTCTAGCAGACAAATGTAAAACATGATTCAATGGCTGGAAGCTGAGAAAACGTAAATTCATATTAGGAATAAGGTGTACATTTTTAATAAGGAGGGCAATTAACCACTGGCTTCATTAGCTTAGCAAGGAGCTGTAGTGGATTCTCCATCCCTAGCAATTTTTAAACCAGGATTGCATGTTTCCCTATGAGACATTCTCTAGAAAAGTAGTTTTCAACCTGTAGTTCACAGACCAAAAGGTCCGCAGACTATATCTAAGGGGTCTGTGAAAGATGCCTACGATCAATCAAAAGGATACGAATACCTACATTTACAATTCAAAGGGGTCTGCACTTTCATTCAAAATTTTTTACAGGTCCACAGATGACAAAAGGTAGAAAACTGCTGCTCTAGAGTGAATCCAGAGAGAGGTGCTATGTGGGAGGACAGATGAGCTAGTCCCACTGGACTTCTCTTCTAGGAATGTAGAATTAGATAGAGGGTTTCCTGAAAAGAACAATCCCCGATTCACAGCAGGTTAATACACCTGATCCAGACACTCCTGGCTTCTTAGCTCAAATGTTCCCAGACTAAAGCCACAACCCAAGACAGAGAGCAAAAGAAACCTCAGCCACAGGTAACCCTCCAGGCAGCAGAAGAGGTTGCAGGGCAGCCTGAGCTTGCCCCCCGCTCTGTCAAAACTCAGGGTCCCATGCCAGGTGGCCAGGTGTGCCCAGGGTACCATGATCAGCATCATCATCAGGGCATAGTGGTTGCGCCCACCTTGGTCCATGCAAACAGCCCTGCAAAATGGGGGGGAGGGGGGAGGGGGGAGGAGAAAGGGCGCTGGCTCCAGAGTGCCTCCCCAGACAGGTCCCCTGCAGGGAAGGCAGAAGCATGGGCAGGTCCACGTCCCGGTTGTCTAGAAGCCCCACTCTCCTTGAACCCAGGTACTGTGGGCTAGGCAGCAGCACAGGAGACAGGCTGGTCTACAGGAGAAGGGCGGGGCAGTGGGGTCTGGAGCTAAGGCAGTACATGCTGCCAGAAGACTGCCTCTCCCAGCCTGGGAAGGGGGTGGGAGAGGCAGGTTGTGGGTGGCCAGCACCCAGCAGCCTGCTGGACCCAGGGGAGTGAGTGGGGACAAGGGCGGTGGGGAGGGTGCTCAGCCAGCAGCCACCTGGGCCAAGGCCTGCCCAGCTGATTTACCATCATCCCTGGGCACAGGTGCAAGCATGAACCCTGACCTGAGGCCGGACACCACACAGCCCCTGGTATAGAGTATCTTATCTCAGAAATGTTGCAAACTCACAAACAGCTTCTTTCTCATGGCCCTGCAGGCCCTGCAGCTATATTCAGGGGAGAGGCCACCATTGGCAGCCGGGATGCAGCCTCAGGATCACCACCACCCACAGCCGGGGCCCTGGGGATGCACCAGGTTCGCAGAAGGAAGACCCAGGATTGGATCCTTCTCCTGAGCTGGCTGGTGATGGCTATGGAGGACTGGCAGGCGGACATGGCAGGCAGAGGATTTTACCCACGAGGACGCATGGGACCAGCGTGAGGACCAGGCAGACCAGAAGTTCAAAGCACAGCTACTGGCCCTGGAGAAAAAGAGCATGGGGGCCCTAAGGGAGAAGGGTGCAGTCATGGACAGGGCAGTGCAGGCAATGGAGGAGGACTGCTGGGTGCTGGACACCATCCTGGCCCTAGCTGTTGCCTTTATACCACTCAGTGCTCTGCCCCCAAACCTGCCTTGCTGCTCCAGCCCAGCTGCTCATCCCAGCTCCACATGGGTGTGGAGCAGGAGCTGCTTGAAGTGGGGCCAGGACCATGTGCTGGCCTTGGCCACCAGCTGCCAGAGGGGGAGTCACCATCACCCCTGGGTGAGCCCCCACCTGCCAGACTCGCTATGGCGTGTGCACTTGCAGCAGCATGGCCAGAGGCCAGGGTGCTGGTCACCTGTTCCTGGGCTTCACCCCCTAGACACCCCCACCCTATGGCCGCCCCCAGGATGGCACATAGACACACCAACTTGTAATTAGTTTGCACAGGGGAGAAGGTGTTTTATTGTTGGTGGGTGGGGTGGGTGGTGAAAGGGCTCTGGTGTTGGGGAGGGAGGCGGGTCTGTTTGTTTTAAGGGCAATGAAGTGTTTTTCTGAGAACTCTCTGCAATGAACATGGTGTTGGGGGCGGGCGGTGGGGCAGGGGTCCATACGTGGCTGTCTAGGCAGGCTACAGCGGGGAGTGCAGGAGGAGGTGGTCAGCCAATGCATCTTGCACTCAATGCCCAGGCCCTTGGGCACGGGTGTGCAGCTCACCTGGGGCCTTGGGGTTAGGGTTAGGGACACTGCTGTTGCTGCTGTTGCAGCTGGTGCCCCCACGGTGAGGCGTTCTCTGATTGCCATGCCTCCTTCACCCAGACCTCACAAAAGAGCTCCCCCCAGGCCTCGCTGATGTTATGCAGCATGCAGGCTATGATGATGACTCGGGGGATATTGTCCTCACTGAACTTGAGGTGGGTCATGAGGGTGCACTAGCGTCCCTTGAGGCAGCTGAAGCTGCACTCCACCACCACGTGGGTCTAGCCCAGGCACCAATTTAAGTGGGCCAGGGGGGTCCAGCTGGCCAGCATAGAGCCGCCTGGGCCAGGGGAGAAGCAGGTAGGTGGGGTCCCCAGTGAGGAGGGGCCGGACCACCACAGCGCCCAGCTGCAGGCCCAGTACTTCCAGCTTGAAGTGGCCGCTAGGCACCAGGGTTGGCAAGGTGCAGTTCCAAAACACATGGGCATTGTGGGCACTGCCCACCCAGCCAGTACTCACGCTGGTGATAGCACTACGGTGGTCAATGATGGCCTGGAGCACAATGGAGTGAAAGCCCTCCAGGATGGCCTCCCCGGTGGTGGCCTTGCTCATGCCAAAGGAAAGGCTCATGTAGCAAAGGCTGGTGGGTGTGGCCAGCTTCAGCAGGGTGACTGATCAGTCAGGTGTCTGTGGGGAGGGGCAGCCGCATGTTGGTGTCCTGCTGCATGGTGTGGGCAGAGCTGCTCCAGAAGGTCCCAAAAGGTGGCTTGGGTCATCCTGAACACCTCCAGCCACTGCTCATCATTTCAGGTATGCTGGACGATGTGCAGCCACCAGTCCTGGCTGGCCCGGCAGGCCCACAGGAATCAGGGCTGGAGGGCCAGGAGGGCCCCAGCAGTGGCATCCTGGAGTGCATCAGCAGCGTCCCTGCTGGGGTCCTGCCAGCACGATGGTGGAAGTTGTGTAGTGGCAGCAGCCTTGGGATGGTGCGGTGATGCTAGGCAGGTGGGTGCTGCATGTGAGGGAGCTAGCAGGGCCCAGATGGCTATGGGCCCGCCAGCATGGTGGGCCAGCAGGGCCAGTACAGTGGTCAGCAAAAGCCTGGGGCACTGGGCATTGCTGCCAGGTGCAGAGGCTGAAGCAGCCATGGCACAGGGATGTAGAGGATGCGGTGCAAGAGCTTCTGTGAGCTGCCCCCATGTTGTGGACACTGCTCGTGGACAGAAATGCAGCTGGTCAGGGAGCAGGGAGCGAGGCTGGGTTTTAAAGATGGCCTCCAGCCACAGGTAGCTGTGGCCAGAGCCTCCGGTTCCCCCTTGTGGCAGCAGGGGCCTGTTTCCAGGGCCCCAGAAAGTGGGAGCAGTTTGCTGCTGGGAGCAGCAAATCTTCTCCGATATCCCTGCATGTGTAGTTGCCTGCCTGAGAGTGTTTACTTGCAAGTAGTTTACTCACAAGTAAACTGATCCCACATCAAATACATGTGTAGACATAGCCACAGTGTCATGGGACCAGTCAGCATTGAGCTCGTTAATTAAAGTCACTCTTGGTGTTGACTTGCCCTCCCTGTGATTGCCCTCTGAGAATGGTGCTGCCCCCAAATACCCTCAGGGCCACTCATTGACTCCAAAGCCCTGGCCAGAGCTCTGCGTTCTCTGCCAGCAACTACCCCTGCTACTCCCATCCCACCCTCCTCCACAGCAGGGAGTGGCTGTCTCCACTTCTCTCAGGATGATGGAATACATTTCGGCCAGGATAAGGGGAGATGATAAATTCCCCTGAAGGGCTAGAAACACTGTGTCAGGAAACTAGGCCAAGTACATACATTTTTTGTCTCAAGCTCTTTCACTCCATACCTTTCTTTGTCCCAGCTTCAATAAGAATGCCTGCACCAGTCCATCCACAGAGCAGAGCACCAAGGGGACCTAACTGACTATGGGGCACTGCAAGAACTGAGAAGCCATCATATGACCTGATTCTCTCTAGAGGCAAGTGGCCAAGGAGCTGTTTATACATAAGAGTGGGGTCTGGTGTGTACCCAGGTGGTTCCACTGGCGGTCACTGCTCTAACCCCATGGTTATGTGCAACCAACACTTGGTCCTGCCAGGAAATCATCTCATGCCTCTTGTTTGGTTTCCCTCCCCCTGGCTGTCCATCCACACCCAAGGCATGCTGTGCAAAGACACCAAAATGGAAAGCCCAACCCCAGAGGTCCACTGGCCCTCTCAGCAGAGACTGCACCATGCCTGAAAGCATCCAATACTCTGTGCTCACCCGTTCACTGACAGCATGGTGCTTGCTTGCCAGCTCATCCCTCTCTGCCCGTGTATGCGCCAGCAGGTCTTCAAGGCGGGAGAGCTCCCTCTGCAGCAGTCGGTTTTCTTCTTGCATGTTGGCCAATGAGGTTGTCTCCCATGCAGCTGGAAGGGGCAAGAGCAGGATGGCTGAGCAGCAGGACACACTGCAGGCCCAGCGGGTCACAGGGAGAACTGGCAGAGAAGTCAGCTCACAGGAGAGGAAGGAGACTTCATGAACCAACTACTGATCTGGCATTCTGGAGGTCTAGATTCACTTCCCAGCCATGCCACAGACTCCCCATGTACCCTCGAGGAAGTCATGTAATTTCTCTGTGCCTCAGCTCCCCAACTGTGAAATGGGGGTAATAATCCTATTTTGTCTATTTAGACTAAACTCTTTGAGGCAGTGACTTGTGTTCTTATGGCACCTACCACAATGGGGTGCTGCTCTCAGCAATGGGATCAGCTACTGTGCTAATAATGCCACTGATAGCTAGGAAGCTCCAAGGCATGTCAGATTGCTCCTTCCACAGGGAAGGAGGGGAAGGTGTTTTGAATAGCTCCCTGAATAGGCACCATAGCAGGCACTCCTCACCACACTGCAGTGCTGCCTTCCTCTGCACAGCTGCTCAGAGCCGCAGTTTTTGCACTCTTCCAGCCCCTCTCCTGGCCTAGGAGAGTCCATTCCCTGGATGTACCTTGGGATGATTCTTCTGCCAGGCTCTGTGTGATGATCTGCCGGATCCTGGCTGGGACTGGTGTGGGAGCAGCTCGGTCCCCCTCTCCGCGCACAGTCAGAGTCTTGTCCTCCTTGCTGGCCTCTGGGTTAAGAACCGTGTCCTCCAGTTTCTGAAACACAGCTGGATGTTACACCTTTGCTGGACATGGGCCAAGCACTTTCACCCTTGGAGCAGACGTGAATCAAAGCTGACTGCAGAAACCAGCAGAGGCCATCATGCTGTTAGTGGTTGTTAGCTAGCACCCCCTCCCTGGAGCTGAGAAACCCTCCTACAGTATGCATTCCCTGCTTCTAACACCTCCAGGTATCCCACACTGGCTGCTACTTATGTGGGATACACTTTTGGGGTGGGAGGGGGGGCAGGGGAGGCGGGGAGCTCCAGCCCAGCTTGTCCTTTCTTCAACAAGTCTGTGACTTTAAGAGTGCCTTCACCCTTCCCTACCAAAAAAGGAAGCACCAGTTGCCAATCCACTACAGCTATGACATGGCTCAGCCACCCTCTACTGGTAGCCAGGACAACCTGGGCGAGGAAGATGGCTGTGGACCCAATCCACTGCATGGGGCCAGTCTGGTGCATGGCCCTAGCCCTGCACACTGGATTGGGCCCCAGTCCTGGTGCCAGATTTAGCTCTACATCCCTGGCCTGCACACCAGATTGGGCCCTGCAGTCCTAGCCCCATGTGCCAGACCAGGCCTTACATCAGATTGTGCCTCTGGCTTCAGCCCCATACGCAGGGCCATTTCATCTGGGCTTCAGGCTTGGAAAGCTCCTGGTGGGGGAGTGGTGGCAACATTAAATGCCACTGCTTTCCGGCCACCAAATTTCTGGACCTGTGAGGAGTCCTGTGGACTGGATGACATGGCTCCATGAGCCAGTGGCTGAGCACTACTGCTGTACATCAACAGCCAGCTGATGCTGGGGCCCTCAAAGTGCATAGTCTGAGTCCAGCCCATCTCTTTTTCTATTGTGCACCCTCTTCATTTCACCTAGGCACTGGCAATGCCTGTGACCCCGGACCTGCGAACCCAAGCAAGTTGCAAGAGATGGGGGGAATCTCACCCAATCACTGCTAAAAGCTGGTCCCAGCCCTGAGTAGGGGCTGAATACTGTGCAGTCTGAGACAAGTCAATCAGGACATGCACAGACATCCAACTCTGCATTAGCAATCAGTCTGCAGCACAGCTGCCGTGTTACTCTGACCTGGGAGCAGTAAGGCCAAAGGACCCATTTTGCTGTCCTCACTCACAATGGAGCTGCTCCAGTTCTAACTTATGCAATTTTTATTCAGCCCTGGGGAAGAAGCAGCCTGGGGAGCACCCCACAAAACCATGGTGGGAATCCCTGGTGGAGGGAATGGAGGGATCATTAGCCAGGGTACTGTTCACTCTCCACTAGATGGCCAAGAAACAGTGCCATATGGGACTGGCACAGCCCTGGGTCTAACCATCCACTCGCTGCCCAGTTGCTCTCCTAGAAGGAACCTGTGGTGCCCAGCCTCTGAGGCCACAACTGGGAACTGTCAGCCACCTCTAGTGTTTTTCCCATACGCTAAACTAACATGCGTGAGCTCTCCTGAGGTAATAACACGGCAAAGGCAGGACACGTTAGTTTTATCATTAGGTAAACTTGATGAGGTCAACTCTCACCCCTCAGCTGGGGCTGACCTCATCTAGTCTACCTCACAGTACAACTAAAGCCTCTTGTCTTCACAGTGTTCTTACCTCAGAGTATCTCACACACCTTAGTTACCCTGAGGTAAATAATGCCTCAGTCTCTAACACTGCGCACATGCACCCATGAGTGCAAGGTGACACAGGAGCGGGTCACAGGGGAAGCAGTTAGCAGACATGGGCTTGGGTATGATACAGCTCATGCTCTTAAGGCTCCATAGGCCAGGGTTTAAAATCATTCAGGAGCCTAAAGAGGTGGATAGAAGAGCACATAGCCATTTGTAAAGCATTTAGGTATCTAATATCTGGCTAGGGAGCCTAGCTGTCTTTTTAGATGCCCAAAGGCCTTTAAAATCTGTATGTACAGGCTGTTGGCCCACTGCCTTGCCTTCACTAGAGATTTTTCTTCAGGGTAACTAAGACATGTAACTTAATTTGAAATCAAAACACAGTGAACACAAAGCACTTTAGTTTCCCTGTGAGGTAAACTAGGCGAGGCCAACCCCTGCCGGCAGTTTAGGGTTGACCTCAGTGGGTTTACCTCACCGTGCAACTCCCATGTCGTGCCTTCGCTGTGTTTGTACATCCCATGGATTGGCTTAGCCCAGAGTTAAAAAATACGAGGGCAGATTGGGAGTTTTTCAGTGAAACGTCTTTTCTCTGAATGTGCCAGCTTCTCAAAACTGAATGTCTCCAAGGGAAAGGGTGGGTTTCAACCAGTTTCTTTGGGGCGGGGAGGGAGGGCTGGAAAAGCAGGATGGGGACAAAGTGTTTAGAGCCCCTGAAACATTTCATTTAGGCCAGTTTCTCAGCGATGCGTTCTGGCTTTCCGGCTTGAAACAAACTTTTCTTTCAAAACACAGGCTAATTTTAGTAAAATAATTTAAATAAAAGGACCCCCCCCCAGTTTAAATCAAAACCAAACACTTGGAAATTACAGAAACAAAATGTTTCAGTGGATGCAAAACTTAATCTTTGTCACATTTTTGGCCTGTGAAAAATCTATAGATTTTTTTTTTAATGTTTTGTCCTGATTCAAGATAGGAAAATATTTTGAAACCAGAATGTTTTCACAAGGCAGGAAAGCTGTTTCTTCTGCATTTGCAAAAGTGACCCAAGGTAAGGCCTCAGGGCAGCTCAATATGGAAGGCTACACCTTGCTCAAGTCTGCAGCATGCCTTCACTTATGGTCACATTCAAGTAAAGGCGTGCAGGATCTAGGTAGGACTATTACCCATGTAAAACTAGGATGGCTCCACAAGCCTGGCAGGAAAGTCAGTACAGAGCCTCTGCATTGATTCCCTCTCACAGCAAAGCTGCCTGAATTTCACTGATGGTGTTGTAAGAAGTGCTTGTCTCCAGCACAAGAGGTGGAGACCCCGGACTCCCTCAAGGAGAATTTATTTCCAATCTTGGGTGTTCATGCAAAGAGACTGGCTTGCACAATGGTCGCTGATCCCCTGGACCAGCAGAATCATTGTCAGGTCTAGAGCTTCACCTAGAGAGTCACCAAACTCCAGTGCGATTCTTTTAGCCTTATGCCTTATCCCCATGCAGGCAAGGAAGAAGGGAAAACGTGAGGAGAAAAGCAGATGCCAGATGTGCAAGCAGGAGTGAGAGTGTGGTGTTTGGAGAGCTCTGCTTGGAGTGATGGGTGTGGTTTTAAAGGACATTCAATTATAGCAGAGCTGCCACAGAGAAGTCCCAAAGCTAGCTGTGTCTGATGCAGTGCGTGCTTCAGTCAGGGAGCCTGGTTATTCTGGACACCTTCTGCTCATTTCCAGGCATTCGCTAGTGTTCAACATGGAAAAGGAGTGGAAAGCACAGCTGCCAGGTGGACAGACCCGGGAAGAAGGCGCCACAGCGTTTGCTCCTTACCAAACACCTCTCCAGCAGCTGTAAATCTCCTGACATTAAACTAGGCAGAAATTTTATATTTTCAGTGGGAAACTTTCAGAAACAATGACCTGCTTTTGTACTGAGTTTAACAAACAGATGCCAGGGCCAAATTCTGTTTTCAGTTCATACTGGTGTAAAGCCAGAGTGCAACTACTGGAGTCAGCTCAGGATTGATAGATGTGCTCCTGGGAGCAGAATCCCACCCTTGAGCTCTAGGGAGGACTCCAACCTCCTTCAAAATCCACTAGCAGGGGTGCCAGCTCTCCAAGATTGCCCTGTGATCTCCAAGAATTAGATATAAAACTCCAGAAGACTGCTGATAGGGCACTCATTAAAATCAATATTAAATGTTGAATCCAATTTATACAGTAGTCCAGTGGGTTTTTTAAATGTAATAGTAATGTGCATTTGCCTTCCTGATGTGAAGTCTATGCACTGTAATCCGTAACTGATATACACAAGCACGTGGGCATGTTCGTGTTGTGGGCCTGTTGATGTTCCAGAAACCTCCCAGAACAGATTCAAACAGAGTTGGCAACCCTAGCCACTAGCCATGATGACCAAGGGTATCTTAGAGCCCCAGGGTATTAAAAGCATTGGGCATTTCTCTAATGGCCTTTTAGCTGGCATTCTGCATTGCCACATGATACCCATGAGCTGATCTGCCTGGGCCTGACACAGCCCTGGAAAAAGACTGCCCTGTACTAATCTACAGCTGATAAAAAGGCTGTCACAACCAGAAGTCTTTGCAGGGTTGGGGTTGTGGGGAGAAGAGGAGATGGAGACCACAGAGAAACCTCAGGATTGCTACGATAGCCGTTCTGTACTTCTGAGGTTGCAACAGGGATGCTACTCCCATGCCAGGTACAGATGGACTGTGAGCATCCTCATGTTCCTTGCTCCTGGACTCCCCTTCATAGGGCTATCCTTTCCAGGCCTGAAAGGCGACACACCTCTATGAGACAAAATCTGCCTGCTGGTTTGGTGCTCTGGCTGCCTTTTGTGACACTGTGTTGTGGCCACCAACTCTCACTCAGACCAGCTGACCCTGAGCCCTGATCCAAAAGTGGGGAGGTGAATTCATTTTATCCACTGTGCCATGAGGTATCTCCATCTCTCCCTCTGCCCCAGCCCTCAGATGGGTTCTTCCTCCCCACTCAACAGCAAAAGGCAGTCTGGTAGGCAAAAGGGCTCCAGGAATGGAGGCAAAATGAGACAAAAGCCTGCCAGGGGTAAACCCTGGTGGTATGAAAGCAGAGTTCCCAACTGCAGCAGCAGTGCCCTCTAAAGGCCAAAATGGGTGCAGACAAAGCCCCCCCATCTCAGAGTGGTTCAAGTACTTCATCGCACCAACAGCTGCTTGTTCCCAGAGCTCAGGACCCACATAAAACCGGGGAAACAGATGAACTAAGGCCTCAATCCTGCAAACACTTGAGCATGTGCCTCCATTTTTACTCATGGCAACATTCCCCTGGGGGTCAGTGAGGATATTCAGATGAGTTGAGTTAGAGATATGCCTAGGCATCTGTAAGATTGGGGCCTACTAAGGGAAACGGGGAAACAGACGATGTGAGGTCTGTCAAAGGCACAAAGCAATTTGCACTGAAAGAAACTGAGAGAAACATCTTTCCCTCCCCCCCACACGTTTCGTTGGGTCTGGAGATGATGAGAACTGGTGGGTAAAAATGTGCAGGGAGGAGGGTGATTTTTAAATATCAGTGTCTCTTTAACACTAAACCTAGGCCTCCTCCTCTTCCTTCTGCTCCCACCCCCATCTATTCTGGGGCTTTTGCCTTTAAAACACAGATGCCACATGTTAGCAGGGAAACTGCAAGACATGCAAAAACTTTGAATCATTTATAATTTTCAGGCCACCTCTTAGTACCGGCATCCATACAAAGGCTCTGGCCTTCACAGGGTAATGGGTTCCAGCTGGAGCAGGGAGGCTGCAGTGCAGTGAATGGGACCCAAGGAGACGGCAACTCCCATTGGTGCTGGTGATGTCAACACAGCTGGGGCGGTTGAAGAAGGGAGCAGGCTTTGGTGCAGTGTCAGAATGGCACAGGCTCTGCCTGACTCTGCCCTCCTCCTCCAGTGAAAGGAGATCATGTCAGAATCCATGGGTCCAAACAAGCAGATTGATCCATCCATGACCCCCCTTACATGGACTGGAAACAGGTCTGTGCTTGTAGCCTACACTGAGCTGGCCGAGCCAAAGACAAGTGAGGTCATTTCCACAACATCACAATTGCAAGTCAGTACACTCCTGCAGACCTCTACTGGAGCAGGCTTTTGTGGGGCCTCCGTGAGGCAGAGGGGTCTGGGCCAGCCTATGTTTTTGCAGGACTGAGGACTGTAGAAAGCAACACAAGAACTAGATTCCCCTTCAACTTTTGATGCAGTTACTGGAATTTCCATTCCAGTCCCCCTTAATCTGGTTCTAACTTTATAAAGAAACTACAACCTGTCCTGCAAACTGCAAGCTAAAAGCTGGCTGTGCTCAGAGTCACACCTGCTTCTTTCACTTTTTTAATTGGCTGCCCTTAGTTTTACATCGGCTGCTGCACTCCTGCCTTCCTTTTTCTATTGCCTAGGTCCTCTCAATCCCTCAAGCCCTCGCTCTATTTATCGAAGGAAACAATCATCACTGTGGCTCCCCTGGCCTGCTTTTCCCTTTGGCAAGCACCACAACATGCTGAAAGCTTTGTTCAGGGATGTATTGCCAATATCTTACTGGGAAACTCCCCCTACAACATCCCTCCTGTGTGTCATTAGTACCATGCCCTGAGCATCTGTGCTGCAGAGAGGACGGGTGACAGGCCAACAGGGAATGTAGGATCTCATCATTCTCGCCTCATTTACACAAAACCGTGACTGTGGATGAGGAGTGAGGCAGCCCCACTGGGACTGCAACTGAGAGGCTTGGTCTAGTGAGGGGATGGACTTTGTCCCTGAGAGTTGGGATGAGTATGTGGACAGGAAATTGTTTGAATGTTATACCAGCCTTAGCATTAGTGCCTAAGCACCTCATGGCCCCCAGCCCTACTACAAAGTTTTACCCACATGTTTATAGATGAGGAGCCAGAATAGACTAAACATCAAGTGACTTTCCCCAGGTCACTCAGGAAGTCTGTGACTTAGCCAGGAATTGAACTGAATTTTCCTGAGTGTCAGCCTTGCTCCCCTACCAGTTTCACTCCTACTCCCAAACTCAAACCAGATTTACATCTATGGGCCTGGAGTTCAGTTAGGGAAAG